GCCTCCTAGGCCTGGTTTAGCACTCTCTCCTTTCTCGTCCCTATTATCTCTTACACTTAGTCCCTTTTCACTATTCTCAGGGTGTCTGTGTCCTGAAAGAAGTTTCTTTTTCCTCTTTCACTTTCATATTTAGCTGGTGCTCTTTTCGTGACATCTTTGTCCTTTTCATTGATATTTTGCTGTATCTTCTTTCTGCTTCTCAAGTTATTTGACCCGTCTAGTCTAAGCCGGCACTCCGGTGCGACGTTCGCTCACTGAAATTCCTGCCTGATAATATTGATTATTCACTCCATGGCTGTATGCAAAATGTCTGCCATGTTTATCCACAAAACTGTGCAGTGGGTCCTGTGAAGGGCTTTGAGATGTCTCGACACAGTGATAAAGGTGCCACCTCAAATGCTAGGATTATTATATAAAATTCCTCTCGCCTTTATTGGCTTAGAATTCTCCAAAAAAACTAGACTTTTATTTGAAAAATGCCTTGTGCTTACTCCCTGTTGTTATTTACCAATCTCTGGCTGGCTTCAAAGTTGGTCAGAGACAGTTGAGCAAATAAAGAATCCTGAAATGCTCTCACACCCTTCCGTTCAACAACAACTGGCATTTATACAGCTCCCTTCACGCTGTGCAGCGTCTCGGAGCGCTTAACAGTGGCGGAGGCTTAAGCCGAGCTTGGGGGGGGCGGGAGGGGGTAAGCGTAAGCACGGTCGAAGAGGGGATCAGTCGTGATCCAAAAGAGGGGAAGGAGGGGGGGCCAGGCAGAGGGATTATAATAATAATAATAATAATAATAATCCTTGCATTTGATATAGCGCTTTTCACGTCGGGAGGACGTCCCAAAGCGCTTCACAGAATACACTGTAAAGTGAATTGACTGTATATTTGTGGGCGAACGCGGCAGCCAATTGCGCACAGCAATGTCCCACAAACAGTCGTAGATTGAAAATGACCAATTTATTATTGTTTTGTTTTTTGGAGGGATTATTATTAGGCTCTGTGTGGAGTAAGGAAACTTGCCCAAGGTTTCGCCCTCTGCCTGGAATTGAACTCAGGTCTCTCACTTGCAAAGTGAGTGCTCTAACCACTGAGCTACAGGACTCCACAGGATTGAGGGGTAGAGAGTTCCAAACCTTCGGGGCAAAGTGGCAGTAATGAAGGTTCATCGAATTCCTGTTTTAATTCCCTCGTGACTTGGCTGCCTTCACTGAGGAGTCTTTTCCACGTATTCACTACTTGCCCTGTGGTAATTTTCCTCCACGGTCTTGCTCCTCGCTACCTCTGTGACATGCTAACTTCATATCGGCCCGTCCACTCCCTCTGCTCAGCAGGCTCCTGCCTGCTCCAGGTCCCTCGCCCTCCCCGCCCAACCATCGACGGTCGGGCCTTCAGTCTTTCTGCTCCCACCCTTTGGAACTCCATCACACAGTCCTTTGGCTTGGCAACCTCCTTCAAGGCACATCCAAAGACCTTCCTCGTCGACTGCCCCTTCACTCACCCCCTCACCCCCAACCTCCCTGTCCTCCACCCCTCCTGATCCCAACTCTTGGCTCAAGTGCAAATGCTTGACTGTCCGGAGTCTTTGATTGGCTTCCCCAAGCAAAAAGTGCGATAGAAATGTAATTTGTTGTTGTCGTAAATGAATCTGAACTGATTGTTCACCTTCCTTCTCCTGACATGACGTCTGTGTCTCCTTGTTTTGAATTGTTTGACCTTGTTGTACAAGCTTGGCTCGCTATTTCTTCCCCCACTCCTCTGCCCACTCCCTCTTTCAATTGAATTTAACTGAGGCTTATAAAAAGTTAGAAGTCATTTTTCATTTCACTTTGATTTCTTTTACATTAGCGATTTGGCTCGGAGGGTTAACAGGAGGCGAGTGGATAGAATCCCTGACCCTAGTGACCGGTCGGCCCCTCGAAGACCTCCCGATGAGACAGGCTGGCTGTTTTTTTTTTACCAACTGTGCCACTGGGAGTACTCGAGACCTGCCTGTCTGAGACGCGATTGTAACGTCCCAAAGTCAGGCACGTCAGCTTGGATCACACTTACTAAGGAGGGGAGGCGGTTAGTCACTAGTTAGTCATTAAACATCCGACAAAAACAGGTTTGAGCTCATAGCACGAGTACAGAGTGCCTTTACTCTTTCGAAAAAGGCGGAGGCAGAGATAAGTGTGTGGTGATCACTCGCTAGAAATATTCGAGTGAGGCCCTGATTGTTCTGAGGCACAGACTGCACTTTAAGGATCGATAGAGCAGCGCACACACACAGAGAGACAGACAGACGGACAGGCAGACAGGCTGTGATGGAAAGTAGCTGAAACAGGGCTTGTCCATCTCGGTGATTTCTGCTGTTTAAAATGCACGGGGAAATAAAATCTGAATATTGCCGACCGCAGTAACCGACCGCATAGCTTATGATTTATATGGTGTGCAGAAATTGTAAGGTTCGTTCAGCCACGACAGCTGTCACAAACCTGATTTTGCTTCCTGAGAGAGCCGAGGCAATTAGGAATGAGAAGCCGAGGTGATTAAAACCAGAAAATCCTCGGTGGATAATTGAGTGCAAACTCTGTTTGAGAAAGTAGTCGTCGCACATGAAAGCCACTCTATAAGTAACAGTGCGCTTTTGTTCTTGTATGTATCAGCCTGGCTCAATTGGTAGCACTCCGGCCTCTGAGTCAGAAAGGTGTGGGTTCAAGCCCCAGGTCAGGGCTTTGAGCTCTTAATCTAACTCAAGGCTGTGCCACTGCGATGCTGGGGAAGTGCTGGAACCCGGAAGTAAAATAACAAAACAATTTATCGAATATTAGGAATAATTTGCGACGAATACGTTTTAATGAAGGTCAATGATTTTATAACATTTTTCGAGACCCTCATCGCGTTGTTGAAACGTCTCAGTCGTTAGATCGAGGCCCACGTCTGCCTGTTCAGTGGACGGGAAAGATCCCGTGAAGCCATTCGAAAAGAGAAGGGGGCTTTCTCCCGCTCTCCTGGACAGCAAGATGAAATGCGGTCGTTCACTTCACGGCCGTTTACGAGACATCGTTGCGCGCCAACTGACTCCCGCGTTCGCCTACGAAACACACGGCCGCTACATTTCCGGCTGTAAAATCCTGTGAAGCGCTTTGAGCCGTTTCGACAACACGGTAGTGCAGTAACATTTCCAAATAACTTGCGTTGAGGTAGCGCCTTTTATGTCAGGAGGACGCCTCGCGGTATAAGGCGCTATATACCAGGTGCAAGGATTGTCATCAAAAGGGGTGCGTTTGATAATTGATCGTTGCGAAGGGCTTTCAAATTATTCCTGACGTTAAATAACATTAAATCGTCTGATATTTAAGTTCTTCGTTTCCGCCCTCCCTTCCCCCCATTGCGTTTATTCAAATGCAGCGGAGACAAATGATTCGCGGAGATTCTGGCTGTCAGAGGAGATGAAAACTCGTCCTCGAAATGGTTATTGATTCTGCGGCCGGTTGTTTGATAAGAGAGGACATCTTCATCTCATCGAGTACCAGAGCTTCATAGAATCATAAGAATCTTAGAATCGTACAGCACAAAAAGAGGCCATTCGGCCCATCGAGTTTGTGACGGCTCTTTGAAAAGAGCAATGTAACGTCAATCCCACTCCTCAGCCCTTTTCCCCATAGCCCTGCAAACCCGTCCTCCTCAAATACCCGTCCACCACGTTTTTAATAGTAGTTATCGAATCGGCCTCGACCGCCCTTTCAGGCAACGCGTTCCAGATTCGAACAACTCGCTGCGTGAAAAAATTCCTTCTCCCCTCTGCTTCTTTTAGAGACTACTTTGAATCTGTGACCTCGAGCCACCGACACACCCACCAGTTTTTCCCTTTCTAACCTACCAAATCCCCTCATGATTTTGAAGACCTCTATTAGGTCTCCTCGTAACCTTCTCTGCTCCAATGAGAATAATCCCAGTCTCTCCAGCCTTTCCTCATCATCAAGGTCCCTCATTCCTGGTACCATCCTCGTAAATCTCCTCTGCACCCTTTCCAATGCCTTAACATCCTTCCTATAGTACGGTGCCCAAAACTGGGCGCAGTATTCTAACTGAGGCCTAACCAGTGTTTTATGTAGGTTAATCATAACCTCCTGACTCTTGCACTCTATGCCCCTATATTTTTTATCTAAGGGAAGAAATATGAGGGTACATATCTAGCAATCCTTGCATTTCATATAGCATCTTAATACGTCGTCGAGACATCTCGGGATTTACTGGAAAGTGCAGTAACTCTATATTTTCAGGTGGACTCAGCAGCAATATCCCACAGACAGCCATGAAATGAAGTCAGTGATCAATTATAACTGGAGCCACGGTTGACCAGGACACTGGGAGAAACTCCCTTCTTGGTTTGAATAGCCCCAATGAAAAACATTTCGCCCCCCAAACATAGTCAATTCACTTTACGGTATATTCTGTGAAGCGCTTTGAGACGTCTCGGAAGACTTGATAAGGCGCTGTATCAAAAATGCGAGGATTCTTCTTGTTTATTATCTTTAACATCCACCTGAACAGACACAGAGGGCGGGTGGTGGGGTGGGGGAGTGCGGTTTTAACGTCTCATTTGAAGATGGCATCTCTGACAACAGTATATACCTCCAGCGCTGAGTTGGAGTATCAGCATAGACTGTGTGTGTGCGTGCGTGTGTGTGTCGGTGTGTGGTGGGTGAGAGGGGTGGGTGTTTAATCCACAACCTTCTGACTTGGAGGCGAGACGCTACCAACCGAGCCAGGCTGGCGCGTATAGAGCTCCACCAGACCCGTGATGGTTAACGTTTTGTTTCGGTCTATCGTCCCGCCATTGATATATCACAGCAGATCGTTTGCATTTCGGGCCAGGCGCGTGGAGTGCTTTGACACGTCCTCCCCACGTGTAAATGGCGCTTGTTACGCTACCTCTGCCCAGAGCGCAGGGCAGTGTGTAGTGCAGTACAGAACAGAACAGTAGGATGTAACGTTCGTGTGTTTTTTGTTGTCTGCAGGGTTCGTTTAGTGGAACGAGGTTCTCCTCACAGCCTGCCGCTAATGGAGTCTGGAAAGGTGAGTGATGGGCCTCCCCTAACCCCCCCCACCCTCCCTGCTCACCACCCCTCCTGATCCCAACTCCCCAGCTGGTCGATACGGAGAGAGAGAGATGGGGTGGGCGGGCGTAGAAAAGTAATCATTGCCTAAGTGGGTGGAGAAAGGGACACGCAATTCATCAATATTACCTTTAAACACCCCTCAGGGCAGCTACAGCACAGACAACGTACTTAATCAAACCGTCTTACTTCCTATCTTGACTAGATCACATCCACCTCACTCTGCTCCCAGTTCACTCAACAACAACAACAAAATTAGATTTATAGAGCGCCTTTCACGTCGGGAGGACGTCCCAAGGCGCTGGACAGTGAGGGGTCGGGACCCGAGCAGGGGGGAGGGGTGGGGTAGAGGTGAGGGAAGGCAGAGAGGTGGGAGGGTGACCGAAGGCACGATCGAAGAGGAGGGTCTTGAGACCGGCCTTTAAGGAGGCGAGGGAGGAAGCGAGGCGAAGTGACCGTGGGATGGAGTTCCAGAGTGTGGGGGCAGAGAGGCTGAAAGTCCGGCCACCGATGGTAGGGTGGGTCGGGCGGGAGGCATGGAGCAGGCCAGAGCCCAATGAATGGAGGGAGTGGGCAGGTTGGTAGGGAGTCAACAGGTCAGAGAGGTAGGAGGGGGCAAGGCCATGGATGGCCTTGAAAGTGAGGACGAGGATCTTGAATTGGAATTCGATCTCGACTCCGTTCCCAGTTTGCTCTGGTGGGCTTCACTCTGCGATGGGAGTGAAACACGCCAGCAGTTCCTGTGACCAGTTCCTAAAGGCAGGAGCACCAGCATCTTGTGCTCCCGCCCTCCCTCCCTACATTTGAAGCCTGCTTTAAAACCTTCTATTTTGACCATAAATTCGATCCCTTTCCAAGGGATTAAGGAAAAAGTCTGTGTGTTTGAGGAAGATAGTGATAATCTTCGTAATCGATACCACGCCTTATCTTGTCGTTGAGCGGTCTCAAAGTGCTTCACAGGACACAACATAAAGCGGGGTGACTGTATTTTGTGGGTATATTGTAGCCTCCGTGATGTTATAATGACAATAGGCGCCCTGGGGTGCTACTGTGCGTGAAGGGTGCTATATAAATGCAAGTTGTTGTGGTTGATAATCCTTGCGTTTGTGTTATCGCTGTGCAGATACTACCTGGCGTGCGAATAATCATCGCTAACCCAGAAACTAAAGGACCGCTGGGCGATTCACATCTTGGAGAGGTGAGGCAGACATTTGAGATGTCATTATCATACGTCATGAATATAGGATTCATCGACTGACGCGGAGGCAGAGCACGTTTGAACGTCACCTTCTGAATTTGTCGGACACACGTGGAAACCTATCGTCGTGATTCAGAGGGTCCAAACCAAACTGAGCGCTCCACATAAGTGTGCAAATTCCCCTGCGTGCATTCTCAACCCTTGAGGGACGCATCCTGCTCAACTAATGCCGTAGAGTATTAGAGGTTAGGTTGGCAAAAGCCAAGGCCTGGGGACCAAAGGGTGAGTTTTGGGGTAACTGCTGGAATTGCCGGGCAAGCTCCTCCTCGCTGCTTTGTCCATCGGTGGTCGCGCTCTGCATCCAATGCTCGGTCGCTGGAGCCCGAGTGAGTTCAGTTGGCAGCCAACTCAATCGGTGATCTCCGTGAGCGCATCCTCTCAACGCCCGGAGTATTAACACCGTCTAGAACGCGAGTTAACACGACGCAATTTGGTGTTATTTCTCGAGCCGCTGTTGCGTTGCATGTGGCGGAAACGTACGGTTAGGTGGGGGGGAGGGTGGGGGGTGAGATGGTATCAGAAACCCTTTGATTTCCCTGGTGAGGATTCCAAAGCGGGAGCTTCCGTGGCCGCAAGTCCCTGACCCGGATCTTTTGCCTTTTTATCGCGCAGATTTGGGTTCACAGTGCGCACAACGCGAGCGGGTATTTCACCATTTACGGAGACGAGTCGCTCCAGTCGGACCATTTCAACTCTCGCCTAAGTTTCGGAGACACTCAAACGGTGTGGGCTCGGACTGGTTACCTGGGCTTCCTAAGACGGACTGACCTCACTGATGCAAACGGAGGTAAGCCCGGGAATTGCGGTAGTATAAAGTGGGTGTGTTATAGTTGGACGACTCAGTCAAATGGGTTCAAACTCTCCCACCCCCCAGTCTAGGTTGACCCTCAAGTGCTCTGGCATGCTGACCCCTGCATGAAGGGCGCTATACAAATGCAAGTTGTCGTTGTAGTAGTGGTGGGCTAGTGCTGAATTGTCAAAGGTTCAGTCCATCGGATGAGATGTTTAGCCCAGGACCCGTCCTGCCTGTTTGGGTGGATGATAAAGATCCCATGGCACTGCTCGAAAAGAGAAGCGAGTTTCTGTCGGCGTTCTGGCCAAGAATCTTCCACGTAAATGTTTTTTTGCTCTTGACCTGCAATGCCCACAGAGGGGAGATCTTGCTACACACAGGGCCAAGAGTTGTTCGAACACCCGGCTGTCCAGTAAAACACAAAAACTGCATCCGCTCACAAGGTTGGCCTGGATGAAGAAGACTCTTTGGTCCATCCAATCTCATGCCTCCAGAATATTCTCCCCCACCATTCCGCCCCCCCCCCCCCCCACCCCCCACTCCCCCACCATCACGGCATCAAGCTGCTTTTCAAATGAGTCTCGTGTTGTCCTGGCCTCTGCCAACTTTCCTGGCAACGCGTTCCAATCATTGATTGCCTTCTGCGTAACGAATTGCTTCCCAGCGTCCGTCCTGAAATCCCCCTTGGCAATCCGAAACCCTTTTTGCTTTACTTGTCTCTTGGCTTGATGCGTTCCTAAAGTAATGATCTGGGTTTACTTTACTCTTTTTTTTAAACCATCGAGCCGCTCAGGGACATCACGTCCCTGAATCTGTGCGGACAGATAATCCATGATAAGTCGCTGCTTAGCAAAGGTACACGTTCACACACACACACGCACAAATGCACCAATTCGCACACCCATCTAATACAATAGAACTCAGCAGATCACTCTGCCCAAGTCGATTCCCGATATCTTCCGTGCAAATACATTGCTGCGTCTTTTTTTGGACCGAACGCCAACTTACTGATGTGAATGTTGACTCACCCCCTCAGCGGCTGGAGTTCCTGCTAAATCCCGACTCGGAGCAGCCGAAGTAAAACCCCAGTCCTGACGCACGGGTAGAACAGTTTGCGCGACCTTCTTGAGTTTATTCCAGTAAATGCATTCAGCGCTTCGGAATATCCCAGATATTATCCCATTATCCTTGGTTGGCTCATTGGTTTCGATCCTCTCTCCATCCTCTCTCCACCCTCTGCGTCCTCTCTCCAACCTCCTCTCCATCCTCTCTCCATCCTCTCTCCACCCTTCTCTGTGTCCTCTCTCCACCCTCCTCTCCGTCCTCTCCACCCTCCTCTCCGTCCTCTCTCTACCCTCCTCTCCGTCCTCTCGCCACCCTCCTCACATCCTTTCTCCTCATCCTCTCTCCACCCTCCTCTGCGTCCGATCTCCACCTTCCTCACGTCCTTTCTCTGCATCCTCTCTCCACCCTCCTCTGCATCCCCTTCTCTCTGCGCCCTGGCTCTGTCTATCCCAGAAGCTATGCTTCGCTGTGTCTGACGCGCCGTGCTTTGTTCTGACAGAGCGACACGATGCCTTGTATGTTGTGGGTGCCTTGGACGAAGCGATGGAACTGCGGGGGATGAGGTATCACCCTATCGACATTGAAACATCCGTGATTCGTGCCCACAAGAGCATCACCGAGTGGTAGGTGGCACATTCCATAACCACCCATGTCGTACGTTCAGTGGGGGGCAATTTTGCGGCATTTGGTAATGGATTCCTTAATTAAACAGACCACTCAAGCGAGTGGAGAACCTTTTGAAATCCCCCCCACCCACCCCCTCCACCCCTTATGTCCCAAAACCAAAAAGCACGAAACACCCTTAACATCCTGAGCAAAAATGGGGTCAACTTCCGGATGACACCCAACTCTATCTCTCTGCTTCCACCTGCGTCCTCTCTCCACCCTCGACTGGTCGACTCCAGGACCCACTGCTGTCCTGACAAAATGTCTGTCAGACATCAAGTCCTGGATGAGAGCTAACTTTCTTCAGTTCAACGTCAACAAGACCGAGGCCCTCCTGATTGGCTCCCGTCAGCGCCTCCTCACCTCAGGCGCTGACAACATCACCATCCATGGACGCACACTCCAACTCACTGAGCCAGTCCGGAAACTTGGGGTCTTGTTTGACCCTCAACTGTTCTTTCTCTCCCACTTCTGTGCCATGACCCGCTCTGCAACACCACTGCCTCTCCCTTCAGGCCCGCGAGATCCTCATTCATGCATTCAACACATCTAGGCTCTACTACGCCAACTCCCTGCTTGTCGGCCTTCCCTATTCTTCCCTCCACAAGCTGCAGATCATCCAGAACTCTGTGGCTCTTGCCCCCTCCCGCAACAGGCTCCGTGACCCCATCACCCCCACCCTCGCCCGACTCCACTGTCTCCCCATCCCCCAGAGGATAGAGTTTAAAATCCTCGTCATCGCCTTCAAGGCCCTCCATGGCCTTGCTCCTCCCTACCTCGGTGACCTGCTGACCCTATATCGACCTGTCCACTCCCTCTGCTCAGCAGACTCGTTCCTGTTTCACGTCCCCCACCTGGCCTACCCCCACCATCAGTGGTCAGGCCTTCAGCCTCTCTGCCCTCATCCTTTGGAACTTCATCCCACATTCCCTTCACCTCGCTCCCTCCCTTGTCTCCTTTAAGGCACGTCTCAAGACCCTCCTCATCAACCATGCCTTCGGCCACTCTCCTACCCCTGCCTTCCCTGCCTTCTCCCCGTTGAACCCAACCCCCAGCTCGGGTCCAAATTCCTGACTGCCCAGTGCCTTGGGACGTCCTCCAGACGTGAAGGGAGATCCTCCAGGCTTAAAGTGCTCCGGGACGCTACCCTGCCTGTGGGGCGCTATATAAACCCAAGCCGTTATTGTCGTCATTGAAAGCCGCTGTGTGGAACGCGAGGATCGTAAGGGTGGTTATATGTGCCGCGTTCCCTTCCAGCGCTGTGTTTACCTGGACGAATCTGCTGGTGGTGGTGGTGGAATTGGACGGATCCGAACAAGAAGCCTTGGACCTGGTTCCTCTGGTGACGAACGTGGTCCTGGAGGAACATTACCTGATCGTGGGAGTGGTGGTGGTGGTGGACGTGGGAGTGATCCCCATCAACTCCCGCGGAGAGAAACAGCGGATGCATCTGAGGGATGGCTTTTTGGCAGACCAACTCGATCCCATTTACGTGGCTTACAACATGTAGCCTCTCGAGGACAGACTTCCGCTGACTGTGTGTGTATGTATATATATATACTGTATAAAACAAAAAAAAGATTTTTGGTGTTCACCACAAAATGTGCGGACGAACGAAGAAGACGACACTTGCTCCACAGAAGGACACTTTCTGCACTACCAAGCACTCCCAACTCGCCACAGAAGATGTGAAACCGCTCCTTCGTTACCACTGACTGACGCTTAAAACAGGCAAGGGAACAATTGAGAAGTACACGAGCCCTGAGTCGGGCTTGTTTCTTGCTTGTCAGACGATAAAAAACTGCTTTAAAAAGTAAGTGTACTTTCTGCGCTCTGTATTTTTAAGTTCTATCAGCTGAAGTCGCTTCTATCCCTTTTTTTAATCTACCCTCCAAGGGGGTGCTTTTTAATGTATTCACGACCTGTGGCAAAAGCGAGTATTTTAAGTTGTTGATTCTTGTTGAAAATGGATCCAAAAAAAAAAAAAACCAAGCTGTCGAAAATTGCAGTCGAAGGAACCTTCTACCTATAATTAACTGACAGGACAGTTTGCCCCAACCTCTCCCCCTCCTCTCTTCTCCTCTCCTCTCCTCTCCCTGCCCCCGTTTTCATATGTGTCTGGTATTTGATATTAGGAGGTACAAAAGTTACGTTCTCCCTGTCAGCACCTTGGATATGAGTCTGAATTACGGGCTCCTTCTCAAAGCAGGTCTCAGCGATCTTGGAAGAGACAGAGAGATGGAGGCTGTTTCTACTGCCCTGACAATGTGGGCGTAGATTGTCGGTGTGGCCTAAAAGGGGGAAATGGGGAGATTGCCCCCCACCCACCCCACCCCTCCCCCCCAAAAAAGAAAAGGAGATATTTGGTTATGTTTTCACTTGTGTGATGATACCGTTGTACGACGAAAAGGAGAGAGAAAAAAAATACTGAGTAACTTCATATCATGTAATTATGTACAAAAACAGTTTTAATTTATTTTGTTCTCTTTAGAAGTCTATAAGAGAAGACATCCGAGAATGTTTTACTCTTTTAAATGTTTGCTAATAATAATAATAATAATAATAATAATGATGATAATAAGAGGCAAATGTGTTGCATTACCTTTTGTGGATTGCTTCACGTCAGCACAGTATATAGGAGGTATCGCGACAGATCTATGATTTTACCAACAGGAAGGAAAGTTGGAAGGAAACAAAATGCAGTAGTTCTTTACTCGCATGGTGTCCCCCTGTTTTTAACGAACAAAAAAAAAACAAAAAACGGTCAAATTATTCACTCAAAAGTCTGCCTCGAAGGCCCAGCCTCTCGGCCCCATGTGAGTTGCTGCCGGCTTCGCAAGCCAAACCTTCCCCCAGAAGGTTATCAACCAGGGAAGGTCTGAGGACGTTTTTAAATGCTTGTCAATTACCTGAGGTTAAAGTGCACTATTTAAAAAAAAATAATAAAAAAATTCAAAATTGTATTGTGCCAGAATGGCTGGTTTTCATTAATAACTTTGTGTTGGCATGTGCACACATACACTAATGTTGTTAGGCTCTCCACATGTGGCAGGTTAAACAGAGTAGATTGTGTGTGTTTGCGCACGTGTGTGAGTGTGCGTGTATGTGTGCGTGTGTGCGTGAATATTCTTTTCCCCAGATGTGTATAAGCTTAATACCTTAGTGTGACTTAACGTAGAATTCTAAACGGACAGCTATTTATTGACGGCTTTGATCACTTTTGCTGCTGCTAACTGTGTTTCTGTTTGTTTTCAACGTGAAGCTTTCTACTCGATTTGTCAACGGTTTGGCAAAAGAGAATTCTTTTTAAACCGAACGTTAATCAAAGTGGTGTCTGAAAATGGAGCTAATTTTTGCCAGTACGACACACGCCACTTTGAAACTCTACGTTTAAAAATGGAAGGGTGTAAGAAACCAGTAACAAGAATAAGTGTTGATTTTTCTACAGTTTACATTTTTGCTGAAAAAAAACCCATTGAAACGTATCAGATTTTTACAAAAATTTCTGTTCCTGCCATATATATGAAGACTACTTTTTTCTGCATAACTTGTTATGACCCGATATGCACACAGACGCATAATATAAGATATGTATCACCTCTCGTCTGCTCCAGGAGGGTGTACGTTAATGTTGGAATAATAATTCTACTGCATTAGAACCAGTGGGTCGTGCAATTGACTGTCGAGAGATGCTGTTTGACCCTGTCAAAAGAGTTGAGTGGCATCTGACTTCCCTGTTTCCCCCCCCCACCCACTACCCCACCCACAACCCCACTTTGTCCAACTCCGCGCCCCCTGTCCACCTTCAAGCACCTCTCTCCCACACGCACTCACTACACCCTTGACAGAACTCGCCCGGTTACCGCGATGACCAACACAAGGAAAATAGGAACAGGAGAAGGCCATTCAGCCCTTTGCGGCCTGTTCCGCCATTCTATAAGATCATGGCTGATGGAATGGCGATGATCAACCCCAAACCTGCACTCTTCTGGGGACTGAACCCTGGGGCTCCCCCTCAACGCTGCATATTTGTCCGATTAATGGGAACTAAGAGAGAGAGAGAGAGAGACGTCCGGTTAATGAATAAGGAAGTAAAGTGGAATTACAGAGCACTCACTGGTTGTCGCGCTGTTGATTTTTTTTATCAGGCCCAAACCTTTTCAAACTAACACAATCAGGCGAAGTGTCGGCGTAAGATTGACGTAATAATTTCCGATCGCATTTGTTGCATCCTCTGCTGCCTGCCATATGTAAAGAGAGTCTAACATTTACTACTTGTAGTAAACTAGGTTTCTTGTTTCGTCGTGGGAGTGGAAGAAGCAACCAGACTCAGCAATAAAGAAGGCTTGTCCTGTATTAGAAATCTTACCATGCGTTAGAATGTATAAAAACTGTCTGTCTTGTGATCTCGTGCTTTGAAGTGAAACAAAAAAAAAAGAATTCCCGTATAATCGAACTTGATGCACATGCACAGAATTGGGAAAGGGATGTGAAGATCAGACAACGTCAAAAACAAGGGATCAGATTCCTCACGGTGCTTGTTATTATATTAATCCTGCTTGACACTTTACCCAAGGGAAAACTGTCCCTTTTATCAGTTGAATGTTAGCAGCATTGAGTCGTATTATAGTCTGGTGACTGGTAGAGAATTTCATGTACTCAACCAATCACAGTGGATTTTCCTGTGCAAAGGACAGCAATCTTTCTTGTATGTTAAATCACCAGTACGCTTTGTACATCTGTGATAACGCCTGTTTTATATTCAAATGAACAAATAAAAGCTTTTATTTTTGTTGCTCTGAAGATACCTCATCTTGCTGCTGTTTTCATTCAACAGTGCGAACAGATTAGCCTGATGTCGTATCGCTTGTTGGCTTAGCGCGATTGGTACAGTACGATCTGCAAGATTGGACCAAGATAATTTCCCCAAAGGTTCAGTGTTTCATTGCCCCTGTGCGTAACTAATAGGAGAAGATGACAACACTGCTGGGTTTAATTACTTGTTGCCATGATAACTAAAAGATAGGATTCGTGTCTGCGATTTTCGAAACACTTGAGACATGAGACGATTCATTAAACTTTGATACTAACGCAAATAACTTAATCGCTCTTGAATGTGGTAATCGATCCGTTTAAACCTACGCGACTATTTTGGGCTCCATTTCCCAGGGGCGTTTTAAAAATCCTAATCCTTTCTCGTTTGATATTAGCGCTTTTCACATCGGGAGGGTTTCTCAAAGCGCTTTGTGGGATACAAACATTTTTTTGTGTCGCGCCCCCTTCAGGGCTCGTTGTCGCGGCCGAGCCACCATTTGTGATTCCAATAACCTTTCCATTTGATGTAGCACTTTTTATCACGATTCAAAGCGCTTCACGGGATATACTGTAAAGTGAATTTGATTGTGTAATTTGTGGGTGAAACCGGCAGTAGCCAGTTTGCGCACAGCAATGTCCCACGAACAGCCACGAGGTGAGCGACCAGTTTTATGTGTGGGACCTTGGTTTAAAGTCTCATCTGAAGGACGGCACCTCTGACAACGCAACACCCTCACAGTCAGCTTAGACTTCGTGATTCCAAGTCCCGACATTGCTCGGGTCCAAATCTCTGACCGTCCAGCGCCCTGGGATGTCCTCCCGAACGTGAAAGGCGCTTTACAAATGTAATTTGGTATATTGTGTTGTATTTTGATCAGAGCTGAGCAATTCCATACTGGACGCATCATCTTTATTCTCAATGGTGTACAGCCAGGCTACACACAGGATAGTTCCTCCCACCTGACTGCTCCGAGATGCTATCCTGCCTGACGGGCCCTAGACAAAAGCGAGTTTGTTGCTCATATTTCAGACAAACACATTAAAGTAAAACCACGGGGTGTTTTGGAACACCAATGGTCTTAAACGCCAATTTATTAGCTTTATTTTGCGGCTTTGTTATTTGCTTTGCATTTGTGTTGTGGAATGTAAATGCTCATACCATAGTTTGCGTGACAGAATTTGTTGATGGGCATTGTGAATGTCAGGACTTTGAACTCGTAATCGAGGCTGATGGGGAAGTGTCGCATTCTCAGAGGTCCTGTCCTTCAAATGAGATGTTAAACCCAGGTCCTAGCTGCCTATTCAAGCGGACGTTAAAGATCCATGACACGATTCAAAAAGAGAAGGGAGTTTCTCCCAGCGTCCGGGCTAACAGTCCCCCACAAAAAAATTGGTCATTTACTTCATGGCTGTCTTTGGGACATCACCACACACAAATTGATAACTGAGTTTTCCCCATGAAATACACAACCAATTCACAGTAAATCCTGTGAAGTGCTTTGAGGAGATTTTGATGATGTGATAAGGCACTACACCAAATGCCAGGGTTATTAGTCTTATTTTTTTTACATTTCAGTTATAATCTGACTCAGGAATACCTGGAAAATCTCAGATTGGCGTGAGAGAAGATGCTCTTTGGAGGCTGCATAAGAACATAAGGCGGAAGACTAAGGTCCATCCAGTTTGCCTTCTGGCCATCCTGGCAGTGGTGTGACATGTCCTGTCCCAAACTATATGTTATGTTCTGAAATATTATTTACTTACGGAAATCTATCTGATTTATTCTTGAAAGAATCGACACTTTCTGTTTCACTACTCGCTCACTGAAGTAGTGCTTCCGCAGATTTGTTCTGAATTTACCCGCCTTCAATCGCAGGCTAATTTATCAGAAATTAAGTTAAAGTTAAGTGTTTTAACTGCAGTTAAGGTACGGTTTGGCGCCGAGTTGAGGGATGTTTGTTTCTCTATCCAAACCTGTGTTAAAGGAGATGTGGACCTCCTTGGCACTCAAGCATTGGTTGCTGAAAGTGATGAAGTGTTCCATTTCCCAGTGCTAACATCCCTCACCTGGAAACATAGCAGCAGAGAAGGGAGGTCATTCAGTCAAACAAGTCCATACCGGTTCAGAGAGCAAGATTCATTCAATTCCATTGCCCACTTTATCCCCAAACCCCTTCAAGCCCCTCTCTCTTTCATACATACCTTTCTACTTCCCTCTTGACATCCACAAACCACCGCCTCCACTATCCAACAACTCTCTGGTTGAAAAAATTCCTTGAGCAAACCTTTCCATTCAAAAAAAATC